CCCTATTTAACTTCCTTTTGCACATCACATCCCATCCAACCCTGCCACTTATGACCACCCCAGAAAGCACATGGCCCCAGTCACTGCCCAGGCATTTGGAAGAAGCAGGACGTGTTGGTTTTCCTTCTCCACAGGGACGGGACCACAGACATCACCAGAACAGTCCACTGGGGCACCCCGTCTGCCTTCCAGAAGGTGTATGGGCCCAGATTCCCCTCTCCACCCTCTCGAGGGCACCCAAGCAATCAAGATCCCTTCCATTTCAGAGGCTAAAACTGGGGCTGGAGAGGTTCGCTGATTGCCCAGGTCGCATGGTGCCAGAAGGCCCAGTGCTCCTGCCTTCCTGAGGATATTTCAGGCCACCCAGCAAAGGCCTCATCCAGCTGAGCCTCGTCTATTCCTGGTAAATCAGTACACAAATATCTTTTTGTTGCTGCCTGTGTGCCTGGCCTATCTCATGAAAAGAAGAAAGGCATCCCAGAGTGGAAAACAGCACAAGTGAAGCCTCCACAATGGAAGGGCCGGGCGTGTTCAAACTGGCAAGCCGCTCCTCTTCTCTCTCCTCTCCCCAAACCTCGCTCGGCTGCAAGCTTCACCACATCCTCCTCCTCCTACTCGCTCTCGAAGCCAGGCAATGCCTCGAAGCCTAGAAAAGGCTCCATCCTGTACAACCTCAAGAGCTCCACAGTTCGCAACAGTCTACTGCCTCTGGCCTATCTAAAGTGACAAGCCTATGCACTGTACTCAGTGATAGGATCGCCACATCGCCTCTGGAAGTGACCAGAAGAGGCCACTGTCAGCCCACCTCCTCCTGACAGAGGAAGGCTAAGCTGCCAAGTCAGCAAACCTCAACCCTCTGCAAAGAGCCTTAAGAAAACTCAGCAGCCGTCTAACCACAGGAATAAGTGCTAACCTTCCATGAAGCATGCGCACTGTTGGCAGCACCTTCCATCTGTGAATCTGCCCGCCTCTCCAACAGCCTTGGGAGGCTAAGTCTGTTATCTTCCATCGCGGATAAAGAAACTAGGAAGCCACAGTAGTTAAAGTCACCTGCCCAAGGTCTCAAGAGTGAGTGGCTGAGTCAGGATTCAGCCAGGGAGTCACAGCCTCAGCTCCACCCCGTCACCAAGTGTCTCCTGTAGATATTGTAATAACCCTCATAAACCAGCCATAGAGAAGCACGTGATGGAGCCCCCAGCTTCAGGAAGGCCCTCTTCAGTCTCTGCTGGCCATCTTCAGAACCTGGGCAGCCACAGATGACGATCTGCAACTCCCCCCACCCTGCCCCCAGGCCTGGGCCCTGCACCATGTATCCACAGGCCAAGCAACCACAGGAAACTCCCTGGCTCCTCCTCCCATCCTCCATATCCTCTTCCTCTCCTACTCAGGAGCGTGCACCCGTGTGCTGATGAAATGTCTCAAACTTGTCCAGGCTCATCTTTCCTGCTGTACCATCAATTAGGTTTTAGAAACTAGGATGGACACAGCCTCAGGCCCTGATTTCACAGGACCAGGACTCAGACCATCACCCTGGGAGGCTGGTGGGGCAAGGATTTTATATCCCATCCCATCCTAACCTGTAGATAGAAAAATCCAACCCTAGAAAGTGACTTGCCCAACGTCACACAGGATAGCCCAGAGGACGGGCCTTGAACTCCAGAGTTTCTTAATCTAACACTGTTGCTCAGAGTGGGAGACATCAGTAGGCCATGTAGTTACGGGATTCTTGAGGAATTGGGTATGTCAAAGTGCAAAGCCTGACAGATGAGAGAAATTATAGTAGAGGCATCCAATCCAGTGTTAATCGTTAATGTGCAGTAATAAGCTGGAGATAGTGATGGGCTGGTCTGGCTGGGGAACCACTAACTCCATCCATCAGCTCTTCTCCATCCAACCCAACATCATTGCATCAGTGCATGTAGCAGCCTCTCAGAGGCCCCTCTTCTGAATTACCACTCTGATAGTGGGCAGGAAGGGAGCCAAGGTGGACAGTCTTCGGTAAAGCCATCTGACTGAGGTCAATCTCTCTTCCCTTCCAGGCAAGATAGGTGGAGCCTTTGCCGCAGAGGCCTTGTGGGATGCTGGGCTCCAATTATGGTCATGGGACAGGCCAGCATTGTAGCTTCCTGTGTGCATGAGTGTAGGTGTCTCCTCCAGCACTCCCAACCCCCAGCACATTATACTCTCTGAAGGTAGAACATTTCACAGATATGGAAATGACACAAAGACCACAAGATGCCATGATCTAACCAAGGTTACAGCTCCACAGAGTAAGTGAGGAATGCCAGCAGCAGGCCAGTCCTGCTGGCTGCTTAACATTCAAGAGAGGCTGAAAGAGGTCAAGGTAGTAGCTAATATGAACTGAAAATAATGAGCTGGCTGCATGTAGTGACTCACACCCGTAGTCACCTGCTTTGGGAGCCAAGGTGGGAGGATCACTTGGGGCCAGGTTTGAGATCAGCCTGGGAAACACAGCAAGACTCTGTCTCTACGAAAATGTTTGAAGTATCCAGGTGTGGTGACATGTGCCTGTAGTCCCGGCTACTCAGGGGCTGAGGTGGAGGATCCCGGGAGGTCAAGGCTGCAGTGAACCGTGATGCGGCGCCTGCACTCCAGCCTGGGCAACTTTGCTGAACCCCCTCAATACCACAAATAAATAATAAGCCAGAAGCCAATCTGGTGTGTGCCAGGCCCAGGCAGACAATGATGTAATGGACCTGTGCTCGTAGAGATGCTCTGGGATCCTCACTTACCTGCTCTTCCTTGGAAACTGCTCACTTCCAAGCTGGTAAGTATGGGATAACTATTCCATCTTTATGTCTTCCTTTCTAGGGCCAGTGGGATTCCAGTCCAACAACATCGCCATGGCCAAGGGCATGTTCACTTCCATTGTTTGGCCTCAGGCCTCCTCACCACACCCCATCCCAGAGCAGGGCTGGCCCAGAACTGCAGTCTAGGAGTATACCAGCCTTCAGAGGAGCACAGGCACTAGTACAGCTCAGGACTCACCTCCCCATTCCCATCCCTGCACCCAGCCCCAAATGACTTGTCCCACTAACCCCCAGCTCCCCTCAGCCCAGACCTCTTTTTTGCCTTTTAGGAGTTGTTCCCAATATATATTCAGACGAGATCAGGTGCGTTCAGGTGGTATGGCCATGAACTTAGTGGTATGTCCAATTCTGGAGTTGCAAATGCTGGAGTAACAGGACAGTGGCATCAGAGAGATGGTAGTACCTTCAGGACCCAAGTGGGTTTTTAGGTCTTCCCTGCTGGGCTACAGGGAAGAGAGGGTGAGTCACAGATGCCCCTGTCAGAACTAAGGCCCTGACAGGATAGGACCTCTGCTTAGCTAAGCATCTAACTAGTTAGGGCTACAGGAATCAACAGCCAGAGAACAGCCAGGGGACAGCCAGGCAGCCAGTCCTCCAGCCACTCCAGCAATAGGTACACAGAAGCCTGTAGGCTTGGACCCTCTCCCGGCTTAATGACACCAGCTTCTCTGCTGTTAAACCTAGTTACTATAAGGATGGAGAATTTGGGATCCGTCTCGAAGGCGTGGCTCGTGGTAGGAAATAAAGACCAAGGTAAACTGCCACCAGGATGGGCTGGAGTGTGGGCCGCATATTGGCGTGACTTTGGAGCTGCATAGGAGAAAGGTTTGGGAAGGAAGATCAAAGGAGAAGGACATTTAGTGTTCAGGCATGAATTTATTTGGAATCTTCCTTCGCTAGGAATTCCATAGATCAGACTTTTCAAACTCCTTGCACATTTGAATCACCCAAAGCTTTCCTCATGTTTCATCTTGTGCAGAGCCCCACTCAGACCAAGTGAATCATTATCCCTGCCTATATCATTGGTTCTCAATGCACACAATAATCATAGAGAACAGTAATCAAGGTCTGTATAGCAGCCAACAAGATAAAATACCTAGGTATAAACTTAAAGGCTTACATGGAGAAACTCTCTACTAAGGGACATAAAAAGATTTAAATAAATGGTATACTCCGGAAAGCCTCAATATTATGAAGATATCATTTATCTCTAAATTAATCTACTAAATTCCTTTGGAAGGAAGGAAGGAAGGAAGGAAGGAAGGAAGGAAGGAAGGAAGGAGAAAAAGAAAGAAAGAGAAAGAGAGAAAGAAAGAAAGAGGAGGGAAAGGGAGGGGAGGGGAGGGGAGTGGAGGGGAAGGAATAAAGAAGCAGACACCAAATTATTCCCAGGCGCCTACATGCACCACATATCCTTGCCCCCAATATAGTACAGTGGTTTAGAGCACAGGCCCTGGAGCTAGGGTGCCTTGAGTTCAAACCCCAGTTCCACCCAATTCCTGACTGACCTTGGCCAACTCATTTTACCTCTCTGGGCCTCAGTTACCCCATCTGTAAAATGAGGATCATAATAGTAATCTTACAGCATATGGTTGTTGTGAGAATTCAATGAATATGTATATTGCTCTGAGCACCATCTAGCACATTCTAAGTGTTAAATGTTAGCTGTAATGATTTCCTCACACTGGCAAGAGGATGGCTCAATTTTTAAAAAAGAATTCTTGTTAAAATTAAGATAAACCACCTCATTAAAAAAAAAAAAAAACTTTATCTTATAGGAAATTTTAAAGACACACAAAGGTAGAGAAAATAGCATCATAATCTCCAGTGTCCCTTCACCCAGCTTCAACAATCCTTGACTCATGGCCATTCTTGTTTTGTCTATAACCCCATGTTCATTACCACCACCACCACCCCTTCTGCTGCTGGATTCTTTTAAAAGTAAATCCTAGATAGCGTGTCATTTCTGCTGTCAACACAGAACTCTTTCAAAAACAGGAACACACTGTGATCACATATAAACACTAACAAGAATTCTTTGACATCAAATAGCCAGTGTTTTTAAAGCTCCACATCCTGGAGCAGCTATCTGATCTCCATCATCTTGGAGCCTGTGGCTGCAATCAGACCTCAGCCAGCTCCTCTGTTTCCCTGCTTCCCCAACTCCAGGTGCGGGACGCTGTGGCTGTGATCCGGTACTTGGTCTGGCTGGAGAAGAACGTGCCCAAAGGCACAGTGGACGAGTTCTCGGGGGCAGAGCTCGTGGACAAATTCCGAGGGTGAAGAGCCACGGCCATCCTTTTTAGTGTTGCAGTGGGGGCAGGGAGGGGGAATTTGTCCCCTTACTTAACGGGAAGGAAGATCCTCCTCATATGCGGGCTGGGTGGGGGAGGGCTCTGTAGAACAAGGAGAGACAGGTTCTTGGTTGGTCGGGGAGTTGAGCAGGGGGCGTTGGATTACATTTCCCGCCCCGCTGAAAGCAGGACAACTTGAAGGGCCACAACTCAATAGCGTCCCCTAGTGTCTGCTTCAGGCACGGTCTGGCTCTCCCTGGGGGAGGCTGTGGCTCAGACCAGGTCAGCCCCTGGACCACTTGAGAATACCAGGTAGAGAGGAGGATTCCCGAAGGCATGCTTGGCCCAAGTCAGGGCCCTGATTGTAGGTTTGAGGTACAGGATGCTCTTCCAGGACTGGGGGAGTTTTCAGATACAAAGAGCTGGGTTTCTTCACTACTATCCGTAAAATGGAAGTGGAGAGGGAATAATTGGTGTCTACAGTGTGTCCTCTGATCTTCCTCTATAAATGACAGGTCAAGGCTTGGGGAGATGAAACCAGGAGGTGAGGGCTGGGAGAGCCAAATGGTGTCTAGTAGAGGCAGCTGTGACCTTCATTGGATTTTATTAGATATCCCAGGCCCAGCCCAGTCCAGGGGCCAATTCATTGACCATGCCTTGCCTTGTACTTTCCAGAGAAGAACAGTTCTCCTCTGGACCCAGTTTTGAAACCATCTCTGCTAGTGGTCTGAATGCTGCCCTGGCCCACTACAGGTACTTGAGGAAAATTAATTTTCTAGGGCCCTGTTGGGGGATCCCGTTGTGTGTATAGAGGAACAGGGTGAGGGGAGGGGGATGTTCTGGGAACTGAGTCCACATTGGAGGTCTGAGGCCCTTAGCCCTATGGGGGCTGGGAGAGGAGCTCAGTGTGGAGTAGGGAGTTGCTGTGTAATGGAAAGGCCTGAGCACTGGAGGCTAGGGGACCTGGAAGGGAGACACCATTGGATGGTTTTCCCTGGCTTCCCGTGTGTTGCTTATGTTAGCTAATGCTTAAAGCTCACGAGGTCACATGAAGAGAGGCCTGTTCACTCAGCCTGAACCAACCAAGGTGGGCCCAAGATGCAGGCTAGCCAGGTGTTTGGCCCTATAGAAAACAAACCCCTGCAGGCCTGCCTGATGAAATGTGGGGGGCCAAGCTGACCAGCTGCCTCCGCCTGGCATGGGCACAGCAGGGAGAGGTCAGTGCCCTCCAAGGGAGTGCCTGATATGTCCCAGAATTCCCTCCCTGGTGTCCCCTGGTGTCTCCCACGCTTTTGGCTGCCTTGCCCCAGCCCCTCCTACCCACTCAGGCTAGAGTGTCGCGGTGGGTGCTCCTCCGCTTTACCACCTCTTGCTCTGCAGCCCCACCCTGGAGGAACCCTCCCTTCCTGTGCTCTGCTTCTTCTCGGGGCCCTCTGCTCTCAGAGGCAGCAGGAAGTTAGAGACAAAGGGCCGAAGGGAGCATCCAGGTAGAGGCCCAACTCTTCACCGCTGTACTGCGCATCCTCGTGCAAGCCCCTTGGCCTCCATGGGCCTGCTTCTCCTTATGGAAAAGGAGACAGCTGGGCTGGGGGGTCTCTAGGGCTCTCCCAGCTGTCACATTCTGGACTTCACCCTCTCTCTCCTCCCGGGGTCCAGGGCCTGGCTCAGCCGGGTGCAAGATTAGCAGACCTGTGCTGAAGACAGCAGCAACGGAAGCTGAGTTCTCTTCCAGGGCCCTTTGGGATAGAATGACTTCCCCCAGAGGGACTGGCCTGGAAGACCAGACCCCAGAGGTCCTCCCACCAAGGGCCCCCATGTGATCCAGTACAGGGTTAGGCTGCCCCTCTCAGCATTCTCTTCCCCTTCTCAGCCCGACCAAGGAGCTGAACTGCAAGCTGTCCTCAGATGAGATGTACCTGCTGGACTCTGGGGGGCAGTACTGGTATGTACCCCTCACCTCACCCTGGCCTAGATGTCTCTGCTCAGACCTCCTGAGCCTGCCAAGAGTCAGCCAAAGCTTTCCCTTCCTGAGCCATGGATTCTTTGTCTGAGAAAGGAGAGACCTGGAATGAGCCCCAAACATCCTTCCCATTTTCACACACAGGGTCCCTGCACAGTTGGAAATACACAGAGGCTGGAACAGTGGCAGGACCCAGGCAGCACCTCTGTGGGAATTAGGAAAAGACTTCCTTTGCTCAAGTGAAATGTTTACTGTTTTGTGTGGGTTGTTTGTTTGCTTGTTTGTTTGTTTTTTGACAGAGTCTCACTCTGTTGCCCAGGTTTGGAGTGCAGTGGCGCGATCTTGGCTCACTGCAACGTCTGCATCCTGGGTTCAAGCGATTCTTCTGCTTCAGCCTCCCAAGTAGCTGGGACTACAGGTGTTCACCACCATATGCCTGGAGATATATATATATATATATATATATATATATATATATATATATATATAGAGAGAGAGAGAGAGAGAGAGAGAGAGAGAGAGAGAGAGATGGAGTTTCACCATGTTGACCAGGCTGGTCTCAAACTCCTGACCTGAGGTGATCCACCTGCCCTGCCCTCCCAAAGTGCTGTCCCAAAGTGCTGGGATTACAGACGTTAGCCACCATGCCAAGCCTCAAGTAAAATGTTTTCTAAGTCCACGTATTATTACACAGTCTGAGCAACTATATTCAATGTCCCTGCCTGGCTACACAAACACATACACCCTACTCTCACCCACCCGTGCACACCCTGGACAACCCTGCACCACCAACATCATGCAGAATCCTCAGCCCCCTCTTCCCCATGGCACTGTTCAGGGTAGAGGTGGGGGCAGATGAGAGAAGCAACCCTTTCGACGGGCTACCCTTGTACAATGTACAACCTGAATGCTCAGACATGACAGCCATGCAGAATAGGCTAACCTGGCCAGGCATGGTGGCTCACACCTGTAATCCCAGCACTTTGGGAGGCTCAGGCGGCCAGATCACCTGAGGTCAGGAGCTTGAGACTAGCCTGGGCAGCGTGGTGAGACCCCATCTCTAATAAAAATACAAAAATTAGCCGGGTGTGGTGGAGCATGCTTCCCAAGGGAAGCTGAGGCAGGAGAATCGCTTGAACCCGGGAGGCGGAGGTTGCACTGAGCCGCAATCGTGACAGTGCACTCCAGTCTGAGCAACAGAGCAAGACTCTGTTTAAAAAAAAAAAAAGACTAACCCTATTCCTTCCAAACATGTAACCAATCATTCACACCAGAGTTGAGCTGAGCAGAGCTGACCTGAAAGATTTTCCCTTCTCATTAAGGAAGGAAGTAGACTGTGGGAAGCATGGGGTGGGGCAAAAGAAGGGCCGCACTGAACTGATGGAGGAGCAAGGAGTAGTTTCAAATGGTTTCCCAGTCTCTATCCTGTGGAAATGGCGAATGTGCTAACAACAGAGGCTCTTTGCTTGTTCTTAGCACAGCTCTCGGGGATCTGGAGTAGCAGACGCTCAGCTTAGCAGCCTTTGCTGGTCAGGAGTTTGATGCTGGGTGTACTTGAGATGGCCAGTGAGCAAAGGGGAAGTGAATTTATGGGGGCGTTGCTGGAATGAAGTGTGTTCAGAGTAGGGTGAGGCCAGAGAAATAGTCACCTCACTTCCTCTTCTTTCCTTCTGAAGAAGAAGGCCACCACACCCTATGACCCAAGGAGGAGCCCCAGGGCCCTGGGACCATTTCTCCCCTCTCCCTCACCAAGGCGTGATCACAGGGATCATCCTGTGGCAACTGCTGCAGCTGAGGGTTGAGAGTCAGACCTTGGGGCTGAGGCTTCACCTCAATGGAACTCAGCAAATCACTGGGTCAGATCTGTGTTTGCCATGGAGAGGACTGCGTGGAGAGGCAGTGCTTCCTGTAGGCCTGGCTTCACTGAGGTTCAGAGAGGGAAACAGCTGCATGGCCTCAATGGCCTCATCTGTGAAATCGGGATAATGAGGCCTCCTCTGCCATTCTTCCCGGGGAGCAGCAAAAGTGTCCTATAAATGGTCAGTAACTATCTGAATATGAGAGTGTTATGATAACATAATCTCTCTGGACTTCAGTTTCCCCAGCTGTAAAAAGGGGACAATCCCCTTTCTGCCTCCCAGGAAACCTGGAAGAAGCCTTGCTTTGAGAACCAGCCAGACCCAAGGAAACCCAGATCTACAAAACAGCCAAAACGAGTGCGATGGGGGAGGAGTGTGTAGGGCAGGGAATCACACTTGTCAGACAGCTTAGTGGCTTTTAACTTGATAGCTTTGCAGAGGCCTTTCACACATAGGCACCGAAGAGGTGATTTTGATTATGGTAGCTGTCTTCTTCCTTTTGCCGTCCACGCATCCCATCCCAGCCCTGCCACTTATGGAAAGCACACAGAAAGCACATGGCCCCAGTCACTAGCCCCAGGCATTTGGAAGAGCAGGACGTGTTGGTTTTCCTTCTCCACAGGGACGGGACCACAGACATCACCAGAACAGTCCACTGGGGCACCCCGTCTGCCTTCCAGAAGGTAAGCATGGGCCCAGATTCCCCCTCTCCACCCTCTCTCAAGGGGGCACCCAAGCAATCAAGATCCCTTCCATTTCAGAGGCTAAAACTGAGGCACAGAGAGGTTACGTAGTTTGCCCAAGGTCATACATGGTGCCAGAAAACCCAGTGCTCCCTGCTGCTTCCCTGGGGATATTTCAGGCCACTGACAAGGCCTCATCCCAAGCTGAGCCTCGTCCTATTCTGGTAAATCAGTACACAAATATCTTTTTGTTGCTGCCTGTGTGCCTGGCCCTATACTCAGCAGAAAGAAGAAAGAAAGGCATCCCAAGTGGAGGAAAACAGCACAAGTGAAGCCTCCACAGTGGAAAGGAGCCAGACGTGTTCAGGCTGGCCAGCTGGGGCAGAGGCGAAGGCATTGTCTCTGTACACCAGAGGGCCCTGGGGGTGGAGCAGCGAGCTGCCGTCATGCTGCATGCAGCAGGCCAACTGTGGGGCAGACATTGTGCTGGAAACACAGAGAGAGGAACAAAATGCTGTGCCGGCCTCCAGGAGCTCACAGTTTAGCGGCAGAGTCTGCTGCCTCTGGCTGTCCTGCACAAAGTGACAAGCCTATGCACTGTGTGTGGTGATGGGGATTGACCACATCGCCTCTGGAAGTGACCAGAAGAGGCCACTGTCAGCCCACCTCCCTCCCCTGACAGAGGAAGGCTAAGCTGCCAAGTCAGCAAACCTCAACCCTCATGAAAGGCCTTAAGAAAACTCAGCAGCCGTCACAACCACAGGAATGAGAGTGCTAACCTTCCATGAAGCATGCGCACTGTTGGCAGCACCTTCCATACATTAGTCTGCCCGCCTCTCCCAACAACCTTAGGAGCTAAGTCCTGTTATCTTCCCATCGCGGATAAGGAAACTGAGGCACACAGTAGTTAAAGTCACCTGCCCAAGGTCTCAGAGTGAGTGGCTGAGTCAGGATTCAGCCCAGGGAGTCACAGCCTCGGCTCACCGTCACCAAGTGTCTCCTGTAGATATTGTAATAACCCTCATAAACCAGCCATAGAGAAGCACGTGATGGAGCCCCAGCTTTGGGAAGGCCCTCTTCAGTCTCTGCTGGCCATCTTCCAGAACCTGGGCAGCCACAGATGACGATGCAACTCCCCCCACCCTGCCCACACACACCCAGGCCTGGGCCCTGCACCATGTATCCACAGGCCAAGCAACTGGAAACTCCCCTGGCTCCTCCTCCCATCCTCCATATCACCTCTTCCTCTCCCTATCAGGAGGCGTACACCCGTGTGCTGATAGGAAATATTGACTTGTCCAGGCTCATCTTTCCTGCTGCTACATCAGGTGGGTTTCAGAAACTAGGATGGACACAGCCTCAGGCCCTGATTTCACAGGACCAGGACTCAGACCATCACCCTGGGAGGCTGGTGGGGCAAGGATTTTGTCATCATCCCATCCCTTATGTAGATGAGAAAATCCAGCCTAGAGAGAGAAAGTGACTTGCCCAACGTCACACAGAAGGTTAGCGGGAGACCCAGGCCTTGAACTCAAGTTTCTTAATCTAACACTGTTGCTCAGAGGTGGGAGACATCAGTGGGCCATAGCAGTTACGGGAGGATTCTTAGAGGAATTAGGTGTCAAAGTGCAAAGCCCTGACAGATGGGGAGAAATTATAGTAGAGGCATCAATCCAGGTAATGGATACAATGTACAATAAGCTGGAGATAGTGATGGGCTGGTCTGGCGAGGGAACCACTAACTCCATCCATCAGCTCTTCTCCATCCCAACCCAACATCATTGCATCAGTGCATGCTTAGCAGCCTCTCAGGGGCCCCTCTTCTTGGTTACCACTCTGATAGTGGAGCAGGAAGGGGCAAGGTGGACAGTCTTCGGTAAAGCCATCTGACTGGGGTCAATCTCTCTTCCCTTCCAGGGCGAATGGTGGAGGCCTTTGCCCGCAGAGCCTTGTGGGATGCTGGGCTCAATTATGGTCATGGGACAGGCCACGGCATTGGCAACTTCCTGTGTGTGCATGAGTGTAGGTGTCTCCTCAGCACTCCCCAGCCCCCCCCCAACTTTTATTATACTCTCTATGAAGGTAGAACATTTCACAGGTATGGAAATGACAAAGACCCACAAAGATGCCATGATCTAACCAAGGTTACCCAGCTCCACAGGGTAAGTGAGGAATGCCAGCAGCAGGCCAGTCCTGCTGGCTGCTTGGCATTCAAGAGGGCACCAGAAAGAGGGTCAAAGTCTAGTGGCTAACTTGTATAGACCCCAGAGAAATAAAAGCCAGAGCCAGCTGCATGTGGTGACTCACACCCGTAGTCCCACTGCTTTGGGAGGCCAAGGTGGGAGGATCACTTGAGGCCAGGAGTTTGAGATCAGCCTGGGAAACACAGCAAGACTCTGTCTCTACGAAAGAAATGTTTTAAGTATCCAGGTGTGGTGACATGTGCCTGTAGTCCCGGCTACTCGGGAGGCTGAGGTGGGAGGATCCCAGGAGGTCAAGGCTGCAGTGAGCCATGATGGCGCCACTGCACTCCAGCCTGGGCAACACAGCAAGACCCCCTCAATACCTAAATAAATAATAAAAGCCAGAGCCAATCTGGTGTGTGCCAGGCCCAGGCAGACAATGATGTAATGGACCTGTGCTCGTAGAGATGCTCTGGGATCCTCACTTACCTGCTCTTCCTTGGAAACTGCTCACTTCCAAGCTGGTAAGTATAGGATAACTGATACCATCTTTATGTCTTCCTTTCTAGGGCCAGTGGGATTCCAGTCCAACAACATCGCCATGGCCAAGGGCATGTTCACTTCCATTGGTATGGCCCTCAGGCCCCTCTACCTCACCACCCCATCCCAGAGCAGGGCTAGCCCAGAACTGCAGTCTAGGGTATACCAGCCTTCAGAGGAGCACAGCAGGCACTAGTACAGCTCGGGACTCACCTCCCCATTCCCATCCCTACACCCAGCCCCAAATGACTTGTCCCACCCTAACCCCAGCTCCCCTCAGCCCAGACCCTCTTTTTGCCTTTGGGAGTTGGTTCCCAGCTATATATTCAGACGAGATCAGGTGCGTTCAGGGTGGTATGGCCGTAGACTTAGTGGTATATCCAGACTCTGGAGTTGCCAAATGCTGGAGTAACAGGACAGTGGCATCCAGAGAGATGGTAGTACCTTCAGGACCCAAGTGGGTTTTTAGGTCTTCCCTGCTGGGCTACAGGGAAGAGAGGGTGAGTCACAGATGCCCCTGTGGGGGAGCTAAGGCCTGACAGGGATGAGTTGCCTCTGCTTAGCTAAGCATCTAACTAGTTGTGGGGCTACCAGAATCAACAGCCAGGGAACAGCCAGGGGACAGCCAGGCAGCCAGTCCCTCCAGCCACTCAGCAATAGGTACAGGAAGCCTGGGCTTGGACCCTCTCCCGGCTTAATGACACCAGCATCTCTGTGTCTCCCAGAACCTGGTTACTATAAGGATGGAGAATTTGGGATCCGTCTCGAAGACGTGGCTCTCGTGGTAGAAGCAAAGACCAAGGTAAACTGCCACCAGGATGGGCTGGAGGTGTGGGCAGCATGTTAGTGACTTTGGGCTGCATGGGAGGAAAGGTTTGGGAAGGAAGATCAAAGGAGAAGGACATTTAGTGTTCAGGCATGAATTTATTTGGAGTCTTCCTTAGGAATTCCATAAGTCAGACTTTTCAAACTCACTTGCACATTTGAATCACCCAGAGAGCTTTCTCATGTTTTAAATGCCCATGCCCAGGCCCCACTCCAGACCAAGTGAATCATTATCCCTGCCCTATATCATTGGTTCTCAATGCACATAATAATCGCCAGGGGAACTTGTTAGAAATAAAGATTCTGTATAATAGCAGCCAACAAGATAAAATACCTAGATGTAAACTTAAAAAGGCTTACATGGAGAAACTCTCTACTAAGGGACATAAAAAAGATTTAAGTAAATGGTGCTCTCCGGAGAGAAGCCTCAATATTATGAAGATATCATTTATCTCTAAATTAATCTATAAATTCAACACAACCTCAATTCCAATGCTAACTGGATATTTTTGTAACTTCACAAAATGATAGTAAAGTTTATTTGTAAAAATAAACATGCGAAGATAGCTAGGAAAATTCTGAAAAAGAGCAGGGCCAGGTGCAGTGTCTCATGCCTATAATCCCAGCACTCTGGGAGGCCAAGGCAGGAGGATTGCTTGAGCTCAGGAGTTTGAGACCAGCCTGGGCAACATGGCAAGACCCCATCTCTACGAAAAATACAAAAAAAAAAAAAAATTAGCTGGGTGTGGTGTCATGTACCCATAGACCCAGCTACTCAGGAGGCTGAGGTGGGAGGATCATCTGAGCCTAGGGAGGTTGAAGCTGCAGTGAGCCGTGATTACGCCACTGCACTCTAGCCTCGGTGACAGAGCAAAACCCCATCTAAAAAAAAGCAATAAGAAAAGCCAGCTCTCTCAAATTTGAACACAAACTACCACAACTAAAATAGTATGACACTGGAGATGAAATAGACAGCTGTAACAATGAAACAGAACAATTAGTCCAGAAATAAACCCTCTTATTTCCATAAACAACATGGGAATTTAGTTTACAAGAAAGCTGATTTTGCAAAACAGTAAGAAAAAAATGATTATTCAGCAAATGGACAGGGGGAACAAATGGCTAATCATTTGGGGGGATTAAACTGAATAACCTTCAAAATAAAATTCCAGATGGACCAAAGTTTTAAGGTGAGCAATGAGACCACAAAAGATGTAGAGGAAAACCTCTATCAACTCATTTATAATCTCAGGGTGGAAAAGAGTCTTTCTGTGCAAGACCAGAAGCCATGAAGGAAAAGATTAATAACTCTGACTAAATAGAAAATGGAAACAATGTTTATGGCACTGTGAGAGGGTGAATTTTCTTATTTTACCATGAGCTCTTAAAAATCCATATGACAAAAATAGGCAAAACAGGAAAAAATAGGGCAAAGGACATGAAAAGGCAATTCACTAAAATTAACACCAAATGGTCCACATACATGTGGAAAGATGCTCAAGTTCATTCTTAAATACAAGGCTAGGCGCAGTGGCTCACACCTGTAATCCCAACACTTTGGAAGGCCAAGGCAGGTGGATCACCTGAGGTCAGGAGTTCCAGACCAGCCTGACCAACATGGAGAAACCCCATCTCTACTAAAAATATAAAATTAGCTGGGTGCGGTCGCGCATGCCTGTAGTCCCAGCTACTCGGCGGGCTGAGGCAGGAGAATCACTTGAACCCAGGAGGTGGAGGTTGCGGTGAGCCAAGATCATGCCATTGTACTCCAGCCTGGGCAACAAGAGCAAAACTCTGTCTCAAAACAAACAAACAAACAAATACAAATCAGGGCCAGGCACCTGTAATCCCAACACTTTGGGAGGCAAAAGTGAGCAGATTACTTGAGGTCAGGAGTTCCAGACCAACCTGGCCAACATGGTGAAACCCCATTTCTACTAAAAAATACAAAAATTAGCCAGGCATGGTAGTGCGTGCCTGTAATCTCAGCTACTCGGGAGGCTGAGACAAGAGAATCGCTTGAACCCGGGAGGTGGAGGTTGCAGTGAGCCGAGATCGCACCACTGCCCTCCAGCCTGGCTGGCAGAGCAAGACTCTGTCTCTAAAAAAAGAAGAAGAAAAAGAAAAAAAGAAAGAAAAGAGAAGGGGAAAAAAGTATCTTTCTTGCTCAGTTTCCTAGGCACACACAGCATATGTATCTATCTATGTATATATTTTGAAAATTCACACAAAATGGATTCTACCATATATACTTTTCTGCATCTTCCTTTCCTGCCCGGCTGCCCCTTACTTAATAGTAAACCTAGAAGAGTGCTCTACAATAGCGCAGGGAGACCTACCTCATTCTTTTTAAGGGTTGTGGAAGAGCCACAACAACAGTATGTGGCTGTCTCATGGTTTATTTAACCAGCCGTGGATATTGAGGCTGTTTCCAAATTTTTACTATATTTACCATCAATGCTACAAATCAACATCACTGTATAAACATCTTGGTGAGCTTTTGGGACTATATCCAGAAGGTACATATCTGGCGTCGGGATTTCAGAGACAAAAAGTACAAGCATTTTTAATAGGTAATTTGATAGATATTGTCAAACTGCCCTCCAGAAAGGTTGCACCGGTTGTACTTTCTCCAACAGTGTGTGAGAGTGCCCATTTCCTCACATACTCACTAGCACTGAGAATCACCAAAGTCACTAATTTTTGCCAATCTGATAGGCGAAACATGGTATGCTATTGTTGTTTTGATTTGTATTTCTTTTCTTTTTTTTTTATGGAGTCTCCCTCTCCCAGGCTGGAGTGCAGTGGCGAGATCTTGGCTCACCACAACCTCTGCCTCCTGGGTTCAAGTGATTCTCTTGCCTCAGCCTCTCGAGTAGCTGGTATTACAGGCATGCACCACCATGACCGGCTAAATTTTGTATTTTTATTAGAAATGGAGTTTCACCATGTTGGCCAGGCTGGTCTTAAACTCCCGACCTCCGGTGATCCACCAGCCTCGGCCTCCCAAAGTGTTAAGATTACAGGTGTTAGCCACCATGCCCAGCCTTATATTTCTTTAAGGATGGACTTGAGCATCTTTCCACATGTATGTGGACCATTTGGTGTTAATTTTAGTGAATTGCCTTTTCATGTCCTTTGCCCTATTTTTTCCTGTTTTGCCTATTTTTGTCTTATGGATTTGTAAAAGCTCATGGTAAATAAGAAAATTCACCCTCTCTCTGTGATGTGTGCTATATTTGTCACACATCTCTTGGCTTTGTTTATGGCATTGTTTCCATAAACATTGTTTCCATTTTCTATTTAGTTTAGTCAGAGTTATTAATCTTTTCCTTCATGGCTTCTGGTCTTGCACAGAAAGACTCTTCCACCCTGAGATTATAAATGAATTGATAGAGGTTCTCCTCTACATCTTTTGTGGTCTCAGCCTCCCGAATAGGTGGGACTACAGGCGCCCACCACCATGCCCTACTAATTTTTGTATTTTTAGTAGAGATGGGGTTTCACCATGTTGGTCAGGCTGATCTTGAACTCCTGACCTCAAATGATCCACCCACCTCGGCCTCCCAAAGTGCTAGGATTACAGGTGTGAGCCATCCATCGCACCCGACTTCTTTTATTTTTAGAGACAGGGTCTCACTCTGTTGCCCAGGCTGGAGTGCAGTGGCACGATCACAGCTCACTGCAGCCTCGACCTCCTGGGCTCAGGTGATCCTCCCACCCTTCCACCTCAGCCTCCCAAATAAGTAGGACTATAGATGGACACCACCATGCTCAGCTAACTTTTGTATTTTTTTTTTGTAGAAACTGGTGTATTAGTCTGTTCTCACACTGCTATAAAGACACTACCCAAGACTGGGTAATTTTTAAAGGAAAGAGGTTTAATTGACTCACAGTTCCACATGGCTGGGGAGGCCTCAAGAAACTTACAATCATGGCAAAAGGCGAAGGGGAAGCAAGGATCTTGACATGGTGGCAGGAAAGAGAGAACTAGCAAGAGCAGGGAAAACTGTCTTATAAAACCATCAGATCAGCCAGGCATGGTGGGTCATGCCTGTAATCCCAGCATTTTGGGAAGCTGAGGTGAGCGGTTCACCTAAGCTTAGGAGTTCAAGACCAGTCTGGCCAACATGGTGAAACTGCATCTCTACAAAAAATACAAAAATTATCTGGGTGTGGTGGTGCCCATCAATAATCCCAGCTACTTGGGAGGCTGAGGTAGAAGGATCACCTGAGCCCAGGAGGTAGAGGCTGCAGGGGGCTGTGATCACGTCACTGCACTGCAGCCTGGGTAACAGAGGGAGATCCTATCTCAAAAAAATAAAATAAAATAATTGAAATTTAGATTTCTGGGCCCTGCCCTAAGGATTCTGCCTCCAGTAGGTTTGGGAGGTGGGCCCTGAAATCTGCATATTTATCATGCTCCCTAAGTGCTGTTGATGTGCATACTTCAAGTCTAAATTTCCAGAATCAGGAGGGAAGCACCAAAGGTGGAGCACTAAGTGGCAGACAAGGGGGCTGGAGAAGAGAAGGGACTCTAGAAGGCTCAGATCTACCCAGAGTGTCCAGGGTTGATGAAGCCCAGCTCCCTGTGTCCTCTGGGTGGAGTGCTCCCTCCTTCCCTTCAGCCCAGCTCCTCCTCCTCCCTCACTGACCTGCTTACCTGCCTTCTCTTGTGGACTCCCAGTACCCAGGGAGCTACCTGACCTTTGAAGTGGTATCATTTGTGCCCTATGACCGGAACCTCATCGATGTCAGCCTGCTATCTCCCGAGCATGTGAGTGCCCCTCAGCATTGCCTTCTCCCTGACCCTGGGCCTTTCCTGCCTCTGCTACCTGCCACCACATCCTCTGTCCCTTCACCTCCCCCAGGAGGGTCCACACTGGTGGCACCTGCAGACACACACTAGGGCATTCCTCCCCAGCTCATCAGAGACCCCAGAGCTTCTAGAACTTTCCAGTCAGACCAGCCTGCCCAACCCCAGGTAGTGAATAACTGGAGGGGTCTGAGATTGGGCCTCTGAGCTCAGCCACTACAAGGCCTGGAACTATAAGTGATCCCTTCCATTCTTTCGCCTCAGTCTCCTATTTTGTAAGTGGAGGATAAGAATGCCTGCCCAGCTTACTCCCATTACCGGGCCTGAAATCTACCCACCCCACTGCCCATGAACATCACCATGACATGAAACAGCCACCGAGGGGAACTGCCTCTGGAAAGCCCCAGAGAATTCCTGAGTCCTGATGATGGTGGGGGACCTGTGGCAATCTGGACCATGGTGACAGCTGGAGTACCACAGCAGGGGATTGGGTGTCACCAAGACTTCACCTCTTGGCAGCTTGGCTTGGAGAGGCTCTCACCCCTTCTATCCTTCGCAGCTCCAGTACCTGAATCGCTACTACCAGACCATCCGGGAGAAGGTGGGTCCAGAGCTGCAGAGGCGCCAGCTGCTGGAGGAGTTCAAGTGGCTTCAACAGCACACAGAGCCCCTGGCCGCCAGGGCCCCAGACACCGCCTCCTGGGCCTCTGTGTTAGTGGTCTCCACTCTTGCCATCCTCAGCTGGAGTGTCTAGAGGCTCCAGACTACCTGGTAACCTTCCATCTAGATGGGGGGCTCCCTTGCTTAGATGCCCTCACCCTGCACCGAACATACCCCAAGGGTCCCTGCTGGCCCATCACCTGGAAACCTTTGCATTCATCCTCCTTCTCCAAGACCAGGCCCCAGGAACACAGGGCTTCTTGGCCCCAGACGACACCTCCCTGCACCCCAGGGTTGTATACTGCACCCTGGGCTCCTAACCCCAGGCCCCGAGATAGGACAGCCAGCTAGTCTCTTCTCTCCTGTGATCTCAGTAGGCCTAACCTATAACCTAACACAGATTGCTACAGCTGCTCCCCTCCCGCCAAACAAAACCCCAAGAGAGCAATGCCCCTACCACCCCAGGGTGCCATGGTCCCAGGAGAGTCCAAACCTATCACCACCTGTTGGGTATAGCCAGAACTTTTCCCACCCAGTCAGGGCATGAAACAGCAACCCCCGACATGTGAACCCATCATTCCTAAACCCTGGGTGGGCTCTATGCCAAGTAACGGCAGAGGGAGTTAAGCCACAGGAATTTGGCTGTGGAGTAGGAGGGAATGCGGTGAGGCACTCTGGAATATGACCCTACCAGAGGTTGGAAAACAAACTTGGGCAGCTGGAGCACGTCACTATTCTAGACTTCCCTGGCATTCAAGGAGCCCTTTGAATTTTCCAAAGTGCAGCCACAGCTACAATGCTGTTAAATCCTCCCACATTCTTGGATGCCCCTTCACCTTGTGTGGACAGTATCTGGTTTCTCCATTTTACAGACAGGAAAACTGAGCTTCAGACAGGGGATGGGTTTTGCCCAAGGACACATACATTTGGTTGAGAGCTGATGGGGCCGGATGAACCAGCACTCCAGCTCTTTCACCCTTCAGCGTCATGCAGAGTCCCTGAGCCCACCTCCCAGCCCTCTCCTCATTCTCTGAACCCACTGTGGTGAGAAGAATTTGCTCCGGCCAAATTGGCCGTTAGCCACCTGGGTCCACATCCTGCCAAGATGTTTAAAACAGTCTAACAAAGACACTTGCCTCTGGGTTTTGCATTGTGTCTGCTGTGTTGCCAGAGACTGCTGTCACCTGTGGCTTTTGTGGTGGGGGAGGAAGAAGAGAGGGTACGGTGGGGGTGGGGACATGAGGCTCCTAGAAGCTCAGCGGGGGAGCACGTGGGCTTGAGAGTATGTGTGGGGGCATGCATGTGAGTATGTGTGCGCATGTGCACAGATGCACGTGCACACCACGCCCAATCAGCCAACCTCCAGCCTGTGCTAAAAAGGTATTGTAACCTTGTGGAGGGGAGAGAAAGGAGCCCTACACTGGTAAACTTGTCAAATGTAGTCCAGAAAAGTTGGGGCTAGCACCTTTGCCAAGCAGCACACAGTTGGTGGAAGGAAAGACCCAAGGTTCTGGGTGCAGGGTGCCAGGCAAAGGCACCAGGCAGAAAAGTCTCCTGGCCTGGAACCATCAGGCCTAGTCTGCTGAGTGTGAGGGTGACCTGTGATGGTTACCATCACCAATGCTTGCATCCAGAGGCCCCAGCCCTGACCAAGCCTTACTAAGTACCCAAAGATGGGCCTCTGTTTGCTAAGTCATTTGCTCCCTCACCTGCTAACCCCACACAGACAGGGACTACTAATAGAATTAAAGTCATCATCACCTTCATCATCATCACCATCATCATGATCATGGCTACCATTTACTGAGTGTTTATGTGCCACCATGCAAGAAGCTTTCCATGCATCTTCTCATTTAATCCTCACAACCTCTGAGAAGGGCCTTTACTTATTCCCATTTTACAAGTGAGGGAACTCAGTGAGGCCCATAGAGAGTGGCTCTAAGTCACTTTTTTCATTAGGTAAATGAAAAAAGCCAGATTTAAACCAGTCAGAGGACTCTAGAATCCACTCTCAAGAAAGGGCGAGTCCTGGCCAGGTGTGGCGGCTCACTCCTGTAATCACAGCACTTTGGGAGGCTGAAATGGGAGGATCACATGAGGCCAGGATTTCGAGAGCAGCCTGGGCAACACGGCAAAACCCCGTCTCTACTAAAAATACAAAAATTAGCTGGGCGTGGTGGCACACACCTATAGTCCGAGGTGCTCGGGAGGCTGATGCAGAAGAATCGTTTGAACCCAGGAGGCGGAGGTTGCAGTGAACTGAGATCGTGCCTCTGCACTCCAGCCTGCACAACAGAGCAAGACTCCATCTCAAAAAATAATAATAATAATAAAATAAAGGGCGAGTGGTATGGCTTTCATCATTTTACTGATGAGAAAACTGAGGCTCAAGCAGGATCACACCGCTGGTGAAAAGCAGATCCACACCATAATGCCTCCCCAGACCCTGCCAGACCTTTCCCTTTGTACGCTGACACTTGCTCCTGGGGTTCTGGCAGGTCATGGGTAGCAAGACCAGGCACCTGACCAACACCCTCACACAGGCCTTTTGGCCCGAGGCAGCTCATGTGCTTTTTTCCTCAGTGCGAGACCCAGGACTCCACCTCATCTCTGATTCCCCTTAACTGCCCCTTCCAGCTTACCATTCTGGGAGGAAGAGCCCAGCCCTGGAACGTGGCTGGAATGAGGGCTCACAGTCACCCCAGCTCCTCCCTCCCCTGGGACCCAGATGGCCAGCCTTGACCATTCCTGCTTTAAGGGGTTAACTCTAGGTCAGGCAGGAAAACATTCAGGGCACATACACCAGGGCTGATACACAGGGACTCTTGTGACATCGTTAGGAATGAAAGATCATTAGGAACTGTCCCCTTGGGCTCTAGTACTTTGTTTTAATGTTGGAGGATGGGGCTTAGCAAACCTCTCCTCGCCTGCTGATTGCCTGGGGAGTGGGCCATGTGGAAAAGCCCCTTTTCCTAGGAGTTAAGATTCTGGGATTCGAGTCCCACTTGTGCCAGCTGTGTGGCCTTGGGCAAGTCACTTCTCTCTGGTCTTCAGTTATCCCTTCTGGAATCTCCCATACTGCCTTCTTGGTGAGGTTACAGTGAGAAGCTCATGAGACCCGGATGTGGCAGCACTCTAAACCAGGAAGCCACACAGACAAGAAATGATATTGCTGTTATTTGCCCAGCACGAGTTCAACTCAGCTTCAACTTTGTAGGTAGGTAAGAAAAAGGTCTGGGATCCAAGTTTTATATATAAATAGTCGAAACTAGAAAGGCTCTGGAGCAAACATCTAGTTTATGTCTCTCCAACTATGCTCCCAGGAGCCTGAGATGCCTCAGAAATACCACAGGGGCTGTCGAGGAAAACAGAGCTGCTGCACAAAGTAGCCCTGATGGGCTTCCCATAAAACTGTACTTGAAGTAGTTGCAGGGCCAACTTCACGGGTGTAGGACCTGTGCATTCCCTCAAGACTTTGTGCTTAGAAGGGCCCCATGCTTGGTTTAATGCTCGCCTGTCAGGGTCTCAAAATTCTCGATAATTTTAAGCAAGGGGCACCGGGCATTTTCATTTTGCACAAGGCCCCCAAAATTCCAGAGCCAATCCTGAATAGGAGCTCCATGACCAAACACACACACACACACACACACACACACACACACACACACACACAACCCTGGTGCAGTCCTTTCAGTGTACAGATGGGGAAACTTCAACAGCAACCCAGGAAGAGGAAGGGACTTGCCCAAGGTCACACAGTCCGTTGGGGCCAAAGCAAGGACTAAATCGCAGCATACTGACTCAGCTCTTCAATGGCTCCGCTCTTGCTTTCAGTGTGTGCTTCTGTCACTCCCTTACTGCCTCTAATGACCCACTGAGACCCAAGGAGACCTGTTGGAGGTCACACAGCTATGACAACAATGGTGATGACAGTGTTGAGCTACGTTCCTTCAAGCTTCAAATCCGAATAGAAAAGTGCATAGGTAAGATGATAGGTAGATACATACATACACAAATCGTCCTTTTGTTTTTTGTTTTTTGTTTTTAGAGAGAGGGTCTTGCTCTGTCACCCAGGCTGGAGTGCAATGGCGCCATCATAGCTCACTATAACCTTGAACTCCTGGGCTCAAGCGCTCCTCCCACCTCAGTCTCCTGAGTAGCTAGGACTACAGGCATGCACCACCATGCCCGATTAATTTTTTTTTTAATTTTTATTTTGTAGATATGGTGCCTCTCTATGTTGCCTAGGCTGGTCTCAAATTTCTGGCCTCAAGCGATCCTCCCACCTTGGCCTCCCAAAGTGCTGGGATTACAGGTGTGAATCACTTAACAGTTCATTTTTTTAAATAACTAAGTCAACCTTTGCTCGTTTGCCAGTCAACTGGTTCCAGCTGTGTGTGAGTTGGGACCTCAGAAGGGGCTGGGCTGGCTACTCTTCAGCCAGCTAAACCACGTCAGCAGTGAATTTTACCAACTCACTGGCTGCTTCCTCAAATCAGTGGTTGGGCACTCTTGGCACCCAAAAAAAAAAAGAAATGTGAAAGATTCAGTAGCAATCGTTTCCTCCTTGTCCGTTCCTGCCCCTCATGGCTCGTCACAGCCAGGATGGGGAGGTGCTCCCCAAACCCCTACCCAGCTAGCCTTTGCCCAGAGGCCGGCCCATCTCTTCACTTCCTTGTTTCTTTGTGAAACAGGAACTGAGCAAGCAGCTTAAGTCGGGTAGGATGGGTGGTTGAGAAAGCCCCAGTGGTCCGTGGCAAGGCCACGAAGCTGAAAAGCTGGTTTCTCTCCCAGCGGGTTCCAGGCAGCTTCAGGCCCTCTTGTTTGTCACACCTCTTTTGTTCTAGAACAACTTGGGCTGAGGGATGTGCCCTTGACAAGGTGGAGACATAGGATATGGGCCACAGGGTCATTTGGCAGAGATTCGGATGCGGACCACAAGAGACATAGAAGCAGGTGCCAGGCCGGGCGCGGTGGCTCACGCCTATAATCCCAGCTCTTTAGGAGGCCGAGGAGGGTGGATCACCTGAGGTCAGGGGTTCAAGACCAGCTTGGTCTGGCAACATGGTCGGCAACATGGTGAAACCCTGTCTCTACTAAAAATACAAAAATTAGCTGGGCGTGGTGGCAGGCGCCTGTAATCCCAGCTACTTGGGAGGCTGAGACAGGAGAATTGCTTGAATCCAGGAGGTGGAGGTTGCAGTGAGCTGAGATCTTGCCACTACACTCCAGCCTGGGGCCACATAGTGAGACTCTGTCTCAAAAAAAAAAAAAAAAAGAAGAAGAAGAAGGTTCCAAGGGGACACCAAGGGAGAAGGCAGCAGCTCCAAATAGTCACCAAGGTCTTCCTGTATTTAGCGAGGGGAGAAACTCCAGGTGGAGCCTGAAGTGAACTGATGTGGAGTCACTCACCAGGTACCCAGCACTTTCTACTAGCTGGGCACTGGGCTAAGAGCACTCCCTCTATGCATGTCACCTGAGTAGTAACCCTAGTCACACCCACAGGAAAGGCCCACATTATACATTATCACTGTTACCGTCTTCACTAAGGCTCATTGCAGGTGACATCACTTGCCCAAGGTTATGCAGCCAATAGCTGACCATACAACAATCTGAATCCAGTCAGGACAACCTGACTCCATTTCTGAGAGATGTTCTGCTCCTCCTCTTCCCTGGAGCCCTGGACAATTGTCCCCATGGGGCAGGGGTCCACTGATCAGAGACATTTGTCCCTGTAACCTTGGGACAGAGATTTATGCAGAATAGCCCAGCACCTACTTGTCTCCCATAGAAAGTGCCCCCCACACCAGTGAGTCATGAGTGTGTTTTAATCTGAGCACCAAAGTCCAGCCTCCTCTTCTAATGGTACTTGACAGAGCTACCAGCAGGTGTTTTTGGTTTTGTTTTAAAACCAAGACCTTATCACAAGTTCAGAGTTCCAAAGATCACTGTCTTTCCCTCCCCTCCCATCAGCCCCTGCCATCAGCTGCCCACTCTGTGTGTGTTGTATGTGGGCATGAAGAATGGGTGGAAGAGTCTCCTGCCCTTGTCTCCTTGCTTTCCTCTGCCCGCCTTCTCCCTCCTGCAATTTTGCTCTTTCTGCCCTCCCTGCCTAAAATGACCACCATTAAATTTGCTAATG